ATATATATATATATATATATATATATATATATATATATATATATATTTATATATACATGTATATAAATGTATATATATATATATATATATATATATATATATATATATATATATATATATATATATATATATATGTATATACATATATCTATATATATGTATACATGTGTATATATGTGTAAATGTAAACATATGCATATATGTATGTATCTATGTATATGTACACAAACATACATACATACATACATGCATATATGTACATATATATCCGTATGTATGTATGTATATATGTATATATACATATATCTATGTATATGTGTGCATATATATATGTATGTATACATATACATATATACATGTATACATACATACATATATATATATATATATATATATATATATATATATATGTGTGTGTGTGTGTGTGTGTGTGTGTGTGTGTGTGTGTGTGTGTGTGTGTGTGTGTGTATGTATCAGGGGTGTAGTGTGGGGGGGGGGGAACGCGGGGGAACGGCGTTCCCCCAGCGATTTAACTGTGTCCATCTGCTCTGTGGAAATACACTTAATCCTTGTCGTTTATTCTGTTTTTATTGTCGTTTATTCTGTTTTTATTGTCGTTTATTCTGTTGAACTTTTTACTTTTTTATATATTTGTATTCTCTTTTGTATTCTTACATTATTGGCTATTTTTTTTACTTTGTTTTTGTATCATACTTTTTATTGTTGTTGGATAATTTATAGTTTTTTATATTTGTATTCTGCTTTTGTATTCTTGCATTATTGGCCTTACTATTTTTTCAATTTCATATAACCATTGTATTAATGTATATATGTATATATATATATATATGTATATATATATATATATATATATATATATATATATATATATATATATATATATATATATATATATATATATATATATATATATATATATATATATATATATATATATGTACATATATATACATATATATTTATATATGTATATACATATATTTATATATATGTATATACATATATTTATATATATGTATACATATGTATATATGTGTAAATGTAAATATATGCATATATGTATGTATGTATGTATATGACACAAACATGCATACATATATACATATGTACATATACATCCGTATGTATGTATGTATATATGTATATATACATGTATCTATGTATATGTGTGCATAATTATATATGTATGTATACATATACATATATGCATGTATGTATACATACACACATACACACACACACACACACACACACACACACACACACACACACACATATATATATATATATATATATATATATATATATATATATATATATATACGTATATGTATATATATATATATATATATATATATATATATATACGTATATGTATATATGTATTCATATACATACATACATATATATATATATATATATATATATATATATATATATATATATGTGTGTGTGTGTGTGTGTGTGTGTGTGTGTGTGTGTATAAATGTATACACACACACACACACACACACATACACACACACACACACACACACACATATATATATATATATATATATATATATATATATATATATATATATATATATATATATATACATATATATATATATGTGTGTATATATATATATATATACATATATATACATGTATATATGTATATATATATGTATATATATATGTATATATATATATATATATATATATATATATATATATATACATACATATATATTTGTCTGTGTGTGTTTGTATGTGTGCATATATACAAATATACATATATATAGCATATTTTGTTGAACCGGACCGCGGTTTCAACACCAGAGCTGACGTCCGTAACCACAGAGCTTCTAACGCCATGTTGTTGCATGTAGAAAAATGTCAACACAGCATCGGGCAGATTAAAATCATCCAGGGCCGCGGCAGAAATAATGCGGCTATCAAGTGAGAGGTCACAGTCGGCAGGTGTTTCGTCAGCTCATGTGTGATATATATATTTACTCTTTAGTTTCTCTGACGTATGTATTTCTGAGGAAGATATAAATGAAAAAGGTCAAATACATCTCTTGTATTGTGAAGATATTCATTCTTATTCATACCATTTATACATTTGTCAATATGAATACGGTTCACACACACACACACACACACACGCACATATATATAAATATTACTATTATTTCCCCCCCCCCCCCAACAGCCATTTATTCCACTGCAGGACATAGGTCCTCTCAATAATGGCAGTGTCACCCTTGCCTGATTGAATGCCCTTCCTAATTAACCACGGTTCGGCGCGCTTACACTTGTGCCATGGCGGTGACTTCCCTTACGACACCTGCGTTTGACTTCTCAAGCCGATATGTCGCATCGGAGTCTAACCACTGAGCTATCGCGGCAGTCATATATATATATATATATATATATATATATATATATATATATATATATATATATATATATGTATATATGTATATAT